TGTCGCGACACTGACAGCCACCTCGGCCATGGCAAGCCACCTCCGTGCACACGAGCCCGCCAGAGACACAAAACTAAAAGTCGATAGGCAATCATGCCGGTTTTGTAATATCAACAAGAAAAGATCACGCGTGCCTCAAAACTGCACGCCCACACACTCTCTACTCTCCTCTCGCACACCCCATCGTTCGATTAAACATCGGTCGAGCGTGGGCCGCGTGATACTTGTATGAATTATGGCTTCTAGTATCGCCTCAGGCGCTACTTGTGTGTAGTGCAAACATGCGCGCGAGGGCATTTACGCCGACAACGACACCAGGAGGAATTGGAGAGTACTTGGAACAACTAGCTTAATGCATCGTCTCACCAAGTTGATCATAGGGTCATGCATTATGCACGCCAATTAGATGACCTCTTCACTCAGAAAGTGACTAACACCATCATTTCTTCAAATTTGAGTCCTCGTGGTAGAGATGGAGATGCTGGAGGCGATGGGGATGATGACAACAAGGAAAAGGTCCCAGGAAGGATGGAGGAAAGAAAGGTGAAGGAGACAAGTCTGAGGGAGGAGAACGCAGAGAGAAGATGAAGGTTAAGGTCCCTTGGACGTACACTAGGAAGAGAGAGGAGAGCATCTTTCATTGCGAGGCAGCGATGCACACTTACCTGTACGCGCAGTTCATTCCATACCGGGACCGCATCCTAATGGCAAGGTCATGCCTAGGGGAAGATGCAGCTAGCTTCACCATTTCGTTAGTCAAAGAGGTCGGATGCACCTCGATGGTGCAATACTCACAGCGGACCAGGATCGATGACTTCTTTTAAGGCCCTGAAAGACAGCTTTGAGGATAAGAACTTATCCCATCTTACGGAGCAACTCATCCTTAATATAAGTGACCGCAAGTGGAAGAGTGCATCGGCACTCAAGGCCATTATGGACGAGCTGCTGCAATGTCCCGATCATAGACTGGACCCCACCTAGATACTTGATAACTTCGCTAGAGCGTTGCTACAGCCCCTCGAGACCCAGTTATATCCCCGTACTAAGGAAGAGGGGATGACTTGGAGATTTCAGCACCACTGGAGGACAACCCAAAGAAGAAGAATCTCTCTCTCTCTCTCTCTCTCTCTCTCTCTCTCTCTCTCTCTCCACACCCCGACTCTTTCCCGCCCCTCTTCCAATAAATAAATCGATCAATCAATCAATCAACGGAAAAAAAAACATATAAGACGAGGCTCGAAACGATACAGACGTGCAAAAAGTTCGTCAGACTTGGGTATACGGGCGAAAGACTAATCGAATTGTCTAGTAGCTGGTTGCCTCCAAAGTTTTCCAGTGAAGAGAGTTGGAGCTTTTGAACAGTTTTGTCGTGTAATCCGACCAATCAATCGATAAAAAAAAAAAAAAAAAAAAAAAAAAAAAAAAAAAAAAAAAAAAAAAAAAAAAAAAAACAATCGAGTCAATCGAATCCGATTGGATCTTGATTTCCAAATCAAGATCCAATCGGATCGACTGATTCGATTGAATTATTGTTTTTCTTTTTTTTTACTGATTGACTGATTGATTTAAAAAATATATATATAAGACCAGGCTTATGCAAAACGTTCGTCAAACTTCGGTGTACGAGCGAAAGACAAATCAAACCATGTAGTAGCTGGTTCCCTCCAAAGTTTCCCTCAGAATAGTAACCGATAGTTGGAGCTAGGTAATCCGATTGATTGGAGTAGGACAACGAGGAGGAAAGGGCCAAGGAGGAGGAGGAGGAAAAGGAGGAAGACGAGAAGGAAAAAGTAGCCGTCGAGGAGGAGGAGGAGGAGGAGGAGGAGGAGGAGGAGGACGTGAGGCAGGAGGACGAAGAAGAGGAGGAGGAGGACGAAGATGAGGCCGAGGAGGGAGAGGAGGAGAGGGAGGATAAGTAGTAGGAGAGGAAGAGGAAGGAGGTGGACAGAGAGAGGAGACATCGAAAAGGGGGTGAGTAGGGCAGGGAACCAGCTACTTGACGACTGGATTAGTATTTCGCCTATGTGAATGTTTATGAGTTCTTCGTTTTCTTCAATTGTTTTTAGCCGAAGCCGGGTAATGGTCCTGTTAGCTCGTTTTTTGGTATTCTGATAAGGGACGCTGGGCCCGGTTCCCAACCGTGTTGCTCCCCACGAATTGGAGCATCGTATCAAAAAAAGAAAAAAAAAAAACATTTCGCCTGTTTACCTAAGTCTAATGAATGATTTGCAAGTCTCCATCGCTTCGAGCCTCCTCTTTTTCTTTTTTCAAACCAATCAATCAATCAATCAATCCAATCAATCAATAATAACAAAAACAGAAAAAAAAATGCAATCGATTGGATTAGATTTTTTTTCCTCTTTTTTTATTGATTAATTGATTGATCGATTAAGAAACAAAAATTGTAAGACGAGGCTAGAAGTGATACAGACGTGCAAATCGTTCGTTAAACTTGGGTATAGAGGCAAAAGACTATTTGAACCGTCCAGTAGCTGGTTCAAGATAGTTGGAGTTGTTGAACAATTTTGTCGGGTAATCCGATCGATCAATCGATCAAAAAAAAAGAAAAAAGAAAATTGAAGCGAACCAATCAATACGATTGGATCTTGATTTCAAAATCAAGATTCATTTGAATCAATTTATTCGATTGGATTTTTTTTCTTGTTTTTTTTTTTTGACTGATTGATTGATTATATAAAAACCCTAGGTAGCACAGGTTATCTGGCAAGATAATCTGCCAGGATGATCGGAAGTAGAGGACTATCCGAAAATCCGGATAATAAATGGCAAAAAAAAAAAGCGAAAAACCAAAAAAAGGTGATATTGCTCATGCAAAATACAATAGAACTGCGTTCCTATTTCATGAAAAGCTCGATAGGGCATGGAAGGGTTCAAAGGGGGTACGACAAGGAATAGAGGGGTCTAGAGGGGGGATGTTTAATTCATTTTGCAAATTTTTATCGAAATATCGTTTTATTTTCCTGTTTTACTTTTTGTCTTCATCTCTTGAGATATCAAAGATGACGCCAAGCCAAACGTTGTTCGTATCGTTAATATGAACCTGTGTAGCATCGTGTTCGGGTTCAGTGACCGCCACCGTTCGCAACCGAACGCGAACGAGCACCAAAACCTTCCGAACGCGAACATAATTTTTTTTTTTAATAAAAAAATATGAAAAAAACAATATACGTTATGTGAAATAATAATACAAACAACTTTTGCCTGGGAAGTGCTCAAATTCGTAACGAAACTCGAGCTAAAAATCAAAAACCAAAAAAAAGTTGTTTTTTTTTTTTTTTTTTTAATATGTGCAAGGAATATGAGTGTGAGCGATATACATAAAACCAAGTTGCGAAATCACACAGCTGAGCAAGTAGTAGTATCCCAAGTAGAGAGTACAAATGCACCGAGAAAACCATCCATAA